GCGTGAAAGAAAAAATTGTGGTTCAGTTAGATATTATGTCATCGACCACGACTTAGAGATTGATTGGTCTAATACTAACTCGAATGAACCAGTTTTGGTTACATCGGATTGACTTGTTCAAACCTAAGGCTGTACTATTGGTACTGAAGTTCAGTTCATATCCAACATTCAAAGTTCAGACTAAATGCAAAGAAACTGTCTAGCTATGGTGAGAATCCCTACGAATGTCTGGTCGAAATGCAAAAAATGCTTACAAGGGATAAAGGTTAGAAAGTTAAAAAAACTTACTGGATTCATTACATAGTTGGGTTGATAAGGATTCACAGGATAGCCAGCCTCATGATTTCCATAGCCGGCACCATAAGCAACTCCACCTGATTGAAACAAATGTTTTCTTATTACTATTGGTATATGCATTCAAATGTAGACTTGGCTCTAGGTTGCTACTTGCTAGTATTATTTTTCCATTCTACTCGTGCGTTAAATTGACATTGTGATAACTTATAATCATTCAGGTTTAGCATACCAGGATGCCCAACAGGACCAGTTGCACGACCTCTCTTTTCTGAGTTAGCAATCTCTGCTTGAAGCTTCTCCAATTCCCGAGCCATTGCAACTAATTTTTGCTCCATAACTTTACCGTGCTCATAATTTTCGGCGTACCCTTTCTTCTCACCATCAATAGCCGCTCTACAAAACAGAAATCAACAGCTTAAACTACAGATTAACTGAAAGAATGAACAAAAGGCAAATCTAGAAGTGACTTGTGGTCAAACCTTGCACGTTGCAGCTCTTGCTTTGTGTTCTCAATTTCTGCTGTAAGAGTTGGTATCTGCAGCAAATCCGCTGTAAGTCTAGCAAGATCTTGAGTCATCACATGAACCTGGCTAGCTAAATCCTGCTTACTCGACGTAAACTCTTTGATATCTGCACGGACATTTTGAACATCAGCTCGCATAGCATCGACTTCACGCAGTTCCATTTCAGACCGCATAGATTTATCATACATCTCCCTCATCATTATATCTTCCTCAGCTCTCAAAGAATCAATGTAATGCATCATTCTTTGCAATTCATTCTGAGCAACTTCTAGTTCCTGTTTCAGCGCGACGTGTGTTGCAGCCAGCCTCTGGTTATCAGCAAGTAAGCCCTGCACATCTTGATTCTGAGCAACGAGACGATCCTCTATGACTGAAAGATGTTGAGGAAGACCTCTTGGATCGACTCTGAATTGTGTCTCCCTACCATCATCCATCATAGAAGGACGAAGAGGAGGAGGCACTGGTCCTCCTCCCAAGCCTCTAACGAAAGGCGGTTGATGAACCGGTGCTTGCTGCAATCCACCGTAAGATCCACCTTTCATCGAAGGAGGAGGAGGTCCACGATTTCTTCCAGACATTTTCTTAAATATTTAAAGCTCTGATCTTTAGAATTGCTGAATCTCGAGGAAAACTGCTAATACAAAGCATAAGAAGGAGTCACAACACTAAGCAGAAGAAGCCCAATTATAATCTCAATTCCTGAGAAGCTTTTCTCAAGCACACAACAAAGTGTTCGTTTACAGAGAAAGCAACAAAATTCGAATTCGAGCTCAGAAACATTCGGAAACGAAAACTGAGAATCACGCACTGACCTTCGACGATTGCAAACCTCGAACGAACAACAGATGCCTTATCAACGGAGAAAACAAAATTAGGGTTCCTGAGAAATCCTCTTGATCATGAAATTCGGGGATCGATCAACAACAGAACTCTTGGAAAATTAATTGTTCGTCGTCACTGTAGAAACTCCGATTGCTCCTCAAAAGAGAAATCAAAAGGGAACCTCCAGTTTTATAATTCGACAATAATACTAGTTTCTAATTTACTTCTTTTCTTTTTTTTTTATAATAACCGTAATTAAATCAATTGCGACATCTAATTTACTCCATTTAATTCTCGTATTTACAGTATTACTAGATATAATTATGCACAATATATTTTTAAAATCTAATATAATTTTTATAGTTTGACTCATCAAATTTTATATAATACAATAATTTCTTCCGGTAATTTTAATAATATATATAATTCCATTTGATACAATGTTTGTTTTTTTTACTAGATATAGTATTTATTAGATATAGTTTTCAGCAATACTTGGTTAAAAATATAATTACGTAAGATGTACAGTATGT